GAGGGAGCGCCTCTGAGCCGTGGTCTGGTCTGCTGTTGTAATGAAGTGATGCGCAGAAGGGCGCTTGGTCGGCAGCCTTGAGGATCTTGGCTGGCCCGCCATGTCGTCGCGCTGGGACTGATGCCGCCTGCATCTTTTCCCCAATTCGCAACGTTCCTGCAACGCTCTCGGGTGGCCTGATGAGAATGAGACGCGCCTCCTCTCAGCCCAACTCGTTTCGTCGGCTTTATGCCCACGCATTGGCGCGGCTCTCTCTGGTGTCTCACTTTCTAGCTGAGACTCAGCCCTCTCCTTGCGTATGGAATGAGTGACCATGGATATTTCTATGACGGCAGCGTATGTACGCTCTCATAGGTCACCGACGAACGGACAAGCACCGACACATCGATCAAAGATGACGATGATTGTTTGGTTCCTGCGTGGATGGACAAATTCCCCGTGTCTCGGGTGATATTGATTCATTCACATATGTCTCATTCGGTCCATGTCTCACACTCACTGACGCATCCATCTACCCCTGTAAAAAAAGTCACGCATTGACATTACTCAAACAAATAAAGACACAACAAATAATATAAACATGAGAGTCACGCATTGACAACTCAAACAAATAAATAAAAATACCAAACACATATACGTACGTACACATATACATACGTATGTATACACACATACATATGCATACATACATATGGTTACATGTATACAAATATGTGTGTCAAAACTCTCTCTACTGTGCTGTGGATTGCCTGTGCACCTGCTGCTTTTAGATGCGGGCACACAGCCAGCGAGGGAGGAAGAGCCTGGTCAATGATGCCAGCGAACAGCGGCTGTCTGTCTGTCTGTCTCTTCATAAGCAAGGGGCGGCGACACACACCTCCTGACACTCTTGCGGCACATACCGCACCTTGGCTTACTCACAACCGAACGCGTGTGGCATCGCAGGTGGAATTAATGTCTTGCATGTGATAAGATGTCATGTTTCATCATGGTGTTATTCATGCAATGAATGCAGTCCTTCATGCACTTGGGATGTCTCAGAGATACGCCAGGCTGTCATTCATGTGCTCCACACACTGTTAATCTGTGCTGTCACACACATACACTAACTAAAGACTACGCTAAACGGCAAGACAATCGATGATTCGTCGGGCTTTCAGGCAGATTACATCGACAAGTGGAGTGCCTGCCCTTCGGGCAGGCGTGTCCGTAAAACAGTAAAGACGAATGTTTAGGAAATGCGTGAAACCGGAAGGGATTGTGTTCTTTTCTCCCTCCTTTGTTCGGCTGCCGAACGCCATGCGAATGGCACAGAAGCGTGTCTCTGCTGTCTAGTTTTGCTTAACCAAAACAGCTCTCGCATACGCTGCGTGAATTCCACAGGGAAAGAACCCCGGTTTGAAAATTCATATAGGGGATGATCGTCGGTGCACACCGCAGCTATTCCGAGAGTGCCGGGTTGAGATCGACGACCGCGTCGATGCTCTTGGTCAGCTCAGGCAGGGCCGTCGTCTTGTGCTGCCACGAGGATGGAACAAAATCTGCCCCAGACGCAGCGGCAAAGACGCCAGCGAGCAGAAGGCTCCGCGAGCAGTTGTCGCCTGCCGCCAGGATGTTGCCCTGATAGATCGGTGAAACACCGCCAGCGAGGGACACCCATACGTGTGACGTGCCTGCCTGGCATTGTCTCTTAAATGCACATACACACCTCGACAGCGGCGTGGTAGCCGTCGAAGACCAGCAGAGACAGCAGCGCGGCCTCGCCAGACCCTGCAGGCACACATGAGAACAACCGATCGATTGATCGATGTACTGCTCCTTGCATGGACTTACTACACTCACCCGGAAGTGCGCATGAGAGTCCGAGTTCCTTGACGGCCTTGGGGTACGGCTCGCCCTGCTTGGACTTGGCCTTCTCGAGAACCGCCCTCTCATCCGGCGGCGAGGAGCCTAGCAGAAACCCACATACATTGCAGCGCACACGGTCCGGCCAGGCCGTCTGTTTGTGCTTTATCTGATGCCTCCCTTCCTCCCGTTCACACCGTCACTGAGCACCGCCTCGAACGCACCCTTTGGCGTCGCCCCTAACAAAACCTTCTCATAGATGCGCGCACACACACGCGCGACTACCGTCGCTATCGGCTCGTACTGATGAACCAGACACAGACAACAGGGCAGATGCGGCCGTGCTTTGCGGCCGTGTTGTGCTCGACAGCATGGGAGTTGTGGTCTGTCTGTCTGACCTGGTGCAGCTGTGTGATCTGCTCCACCTTGGTCATATAGTCGGGGGTGCCGGCCCACCGAGCGGCTATGATGGGTATCTGACAGACACCAGGGACACACACGTGTGTGTGTGCGGGCGGCCCCGTGCCGTTCGTTCTTTCGCACCTTGATGAGGTTGTGAGCATCCTTGCTGCCCGACGCACACTTGTCCCAACTCTTGCCCGCATCGCGATTGCTGACGAACTCCTGCACACACACACACACACACACGTGCACCCAGCTGGACAGCTGGCCGATTGGCTGGCTGACCTTGCTCATGTGATTGAGCCGCCCATGGTAACCCTTCGCCCAAGTGAAAAAATCCTCGGCGAATGTGTCGAGATGAAAATCCTTTCCTTGCCGGGCGATGCTGTGCAGGAGGGGTGTTGCCTCGTCGCCGTAGCACGACAAGCTTCCCTTGGGATATTTGTAGAAGGGGCATGAAGGCGACGAGTAGAAGGCCGCCTCACCGCCTTTGCTCTCAACCTTCTTGGCCACATCACTCTGGTCATCTGCACTCGATGCATTGGCACCCACGCAAGAACGCATTGAGAGCGATCCATCGCAATGATGGTCGGCGCGGTGCACTTGGGGTCTGTGGCCTTACGACTTACATATCCAGCGCAGAGGGCATTGTGGCTGCGTCAGACACGAAAGCCCCAATCAGCCCCGCGCCTTGGCCACTGCAGCCATCGACCCGAGTGGCTTGACAAGTGGTGCCGACGCCAGTGACGATGGAGATCCCGATGTGAAGCCGCCAACAGACGAATCAGACGCCCGCCTGAAACTGCCAGACAGACAAGACAGACAAACAATCATGCAAATCCCAACATGCATGGACGGACGGGCGTGTGCGCGTGCGCGTGTGTCAGATCAGATCTGCGTTGCATCCATTGATCACCTCAGGCTGGAGATGTGCGTGAGGAAGCAGCAGGCAGATACCACCAGAACGACGACGAACAGAGGGAAAGTCGACAGATACGAAAGTCGACAGATACGACAGAGGGAACGACGACGACAGATTCCTCCCCTCATGCGATCCAAGCGTGCGATTTGCGAGCCAAAGAGGCAAAGAGAGGGTGTGGAGCATTGTCTGCTGCTTTCCGCTGCTCAGTGTGGTCAGGCAGCGAGTCATGTTGAGTCGGCGAGCGTCATCTTCGTTCGCGGGGCTCAGGCTGTCTGTGAGTCGGGTCTTTCGGCGCCATGTGGTGACGCGAGTCGAGACCCAAAAGCACTACAAGGAGCTGATGGACGCCAACCAGGAGAAGCTCACCGTCACGCAGTTCTCGGCCGCATGGTGCGGGCCTTGCAAACAGATGAAACCCGGTGAGGCAGATAGTCAAGTAACAGCACAAGCACACACACACACACACACACACACACCCACACACGTACGACAAGCATGCTTCTGTTCTGCTGTGGTTGTGCTGTGGTTGGCTGGGCTGGGTGCCATGCCCCGGGTGGCAGTAGTTGAGAAGATGAGCGAGGAGCATTCGGACGTGCAGTTTCTGTATGTTGACATCGACGAGAACAACCTGCTGTCCGAGGAGTTCGACATTCACAGCGTGCCCACCTTCAAGCTCACCAAGAACGGTCAGGAGAAGGACACACTCACCGGCGCGCAGCCCGAGAAACTCAGAGAGCTCGTGCAGAGCAACAAGTGACACGACACACACAGACTGAGTGACGGGACGCACCGATATATGGATGGATGCTTTTGTCGGGCTGCATGGCGGCGCGTTTGTTTCCGTTTTGATGGGTGGGTGGGTGGGTCGGTCGCTGGTGCATGGACGCGATTGATTGCGTGTCGTAGTACGGGTGTGTGTGTGTGGGTGTGTGTGTGTGTGTGTGTCTATAGAGTTTGTTTCTTGACGAGAAACGAACGAGCCCAACGGTAGCTGCCTGCCTGGGTGGAGGCAAAGACCGGCGTGTTTTCAACGTAACAGATAAAGATCAAGAGATGTAAGTATGCACTCATTCATCCGTCCGTCCGTCCGTCCGTCGTTCTCATCAGCAAAGATAGGACCGCACATGCACATCAATAATTGTCCTCCACACGCTCACACACGTGTACGTCACACCACCACCATGAGCACGCCATGAGCACCAGACAGCTGACTGGGGAAGGAGTAGCCAGGAATTGGCTGATTGTGCAGAGAGGACCAGAGCAAAAGGGCCAAAACCGACTGTGTGAATGAAGCCAGCATAGATCGCGAGATGCAATGATTGTAATCACGGCGCATAGGCGAGAGAGGACCCAAGGCACATGACATGACATGAGGCCACATATGTAGCCGAAAAAAGTGCATACTCGTCCGTCCGCTCATGTCATGCAAGCAAGTATACACGCATTGCATTGATGCATTGATGCATCGAGGCATCGATCTTCGGCAATTAACATGCCCATTGGCATACGTGCGCCTTTCCTTCCTACGGGCGCATGCCTTTTGCTGTGTGTGGGGCGGGGCGGGGCAGCCCGTTCTCGTGATGGCATGAAACTTCAGCCAGGCAACGCAACGCACAAGACAGACGGACAGACGAAGGCTCGTTCGCACATCCGCGTCTGTTCGCCGACCACAGCCGTCGAGTGGTGGCTGTATGTGTGTACGATCATGGATGCCACGCAGACAATGCACACGCACACATACACATGTATCTGCCTGCCTGCCTGCCGGCCGGCCTGTCTGTCTGTCTGTACATTGCATCGCATCGGGTCCCCCTCCCCTCCCCTCCCTCCCTCCCTCACTACCAAGCCAGCCGAGCCGTCCTCACACCACCAACCATCGATACGCACACAAATAACAGACATGCACGCCGGACACACAGACAGACAGACAGACAGACGCACAGGCACTCATCAGACAGACAAATGTACGCATACAGAGATACAAAGAGAAGAAAACGTACACACACCTCCACCCACACACACCCATCCCTCTCCTCCCTCCCTCCCTCCCTCCCTCCTCTCCCCCGTCCGTCCATCCATCAGTCGTCCTCCTCGCTATGTAGGAGGGGAAATCCCCGACACCCGTTGGCCGCGCCACCACTGGCCCCACCCACCACCACCACACCACCATCACCACCAGAAGCAGCCCCGCCACCGTCCCTGCCATCGTGTGTCTGTGGCGTGCCGGTGTGCTGTGTGTGGGGAGCACTGCTGAGTGTGGTGGATGATGAAGGGCTGGCCGAGGGCGGCACGGGGGCGGGCGGGACCGACATCGACGCACCTGTTGCGCGCAGCGTGCCTGAATGAACCAGGGAAGGAAGGAAGCCATACCACCAGACAGACAGACAGACAGAGACAGAGACATCCTGACAGCTGTGGGCTGTGGTGAGGTGGAGCACAGGGGACCTACCGAGTCCGTTTGTGGGTGGCATGCCGTATGGCGCCTGTTCGCGGCCGATGCGGCGGAGGAACTGAGACCACAGCTCAGCGCGCTGACACACAGGCAGACAGACAGACAGACAGGCAGGGACACACAGACACACACAAACGTGCAAGTCAGCGAATGAACAGGCAGGCAGGCACACCTGGAGTGAGGTAGCCGCCTGTCTCTTGGCAAACTCCTCGACCACATCGCGGTACTTGTCCACCTACATGCCATGCAAGCATGAAGGGACGGAGCCAACCACATGCAGACAGGGGGATGATGCGATGACAGGGGGATGATGCGATGATTGATGCACAGGCACCGTCTGCCACTCGCGTGTGTGTTTCGCTGGCCGGCTGGTGGGCTGGCGGGGTGTCTGGCGTGCCTACCTTGTCGCTGGTGAAGCTGGGCATCTCTTTGCACGTCAGCACGACCTTGGCCAACCCAATCCACTCCTCCACTGTACATATGTGACACACACACACACGCACATCCATCCATCCATCCATCCGTCCCTATAGTTATGTGTCTGGTCAGCTTACACAGCTGAAGCTCCTGCCTGAGTCGACTGATGCTGATGGCCACGTCATGGAGCTGTGCTTCCTTGTCCTTGCCCCTCAGCACCGAGAGAAAGTCCCCCTGCTGGTGGCGGGCGATGTTGTGCTGGATATTCTCCTCCTTCTCGAGCTTGCCGCGCGTCTGCATCTGCATGTGGGTCAGCTTGTCGAGCGACTGGATGCCCTCGAGCATCGACTCCACGTCACGCAGCTCCCGCCCGACCACCGACTGCAGCAGGTCGTAAGACTGAGATGGCGACTCCTACGGAGAGAACAGAGAGAGGGAGAGGGAGATGTGGGGGTTGGGAGGGCTGTGTGGTGTGGTGTGGTGTGGTGTGTTGGGTTTGCTTACGGCGAGTGATTGTTTTTCGGCGTAGAAGACCTCTGAGAGGTCCACCCGCACCGACTGCTGACTGCCGCCATACGCTGGAGGGACACACGCGAGGGAGAAAGGTCGATGGCAGCTGCTGTTGCACACGAACGGACGGATCCAGCTATCTCAATTACCATCATTGACGAAAACGACCTCTCCGTTACGCAGATCGGCCATCTTGGTGTGAAGCTCACCTGTGTATACACATGCACACACAGAGATAGAGAGAGCATGGAGGGAGAGAAATCGTTTCATAGGCCTGGTTAAGTGTGTGTGCGACTGTGGGTAAGTACTGACTAATGGCAACATGGGCGTCTGTGTGCGCCTTGACCACACGGCACGCGACCCTGTAGATGGCCTGAACGACCGACCGACCGACCGACCGGCCAGTAAGCCAATGGATCTCATACACACGTGTGTATCTGCGATTGTGTGTGTGTGTGCCCGAGTCCTACCTTGAGGGAGTTGGCGTGTTTGGTGAGGTATTGTTTGAAGGCCGACAGCCGGTCCTTGTCGCCGGGCGCCTGCATCGACTGCACACACACACCCGGATACACACACGTCGATGGGCGATGGGCGTGAAGTGTTCTGTTTGTGTTTTTGTGTGTCATCAGGATTTTGACTCGCACCCTGAGGTACGGCTGGAATCCGTTTCTGTACTCGTGGAACAGCTCGCTCAGGGGCTTGCGGATGTACTCCTGCGGGGACACACACCATCCATCCATCGACGCATCAATGAACTGACATTGGCGAAGGGCTTGGCTGGCTCACTCTCTTGAGGCCCTCCATGCCACTCTCGCCCCGCTGCAGCCACGCCTTGAACGTCGCTGCATGCAGACACACACATAACATGGCCTGTACGCGTGTGTTCATGTTCATTGCATACATGAGTTGGCGAGGTATGGCCTGTTGAAGATCCGCTGCAGGAACTCCTCCAGAGCTCGCCGCCGGTTCTCGACAAAATGCTCCTCGAAACGACCCTTTTTGGCACACGAACAGCAAACCGACAAACACATCCACACGCAGGCAGGCAGGCAGGCAGGCAGACACGCACGTACATGGTGGATCTGACGTGTTCGTACCATTTTCTGCTTCCGAGGGATCGGGGGCACGAACACGCCTGCAGACAGACACAGACAGGCAGACAGACACATCCGCGCATGCATGACCGTGTGTTGCTCGCCTTCCCGCCTAGTAATGTAACTCCTGTCTGTACGTGCGTACCAGGGTAAGCGTAGACGAGGGCTTGTTTGAGCCATTCGAAGTCGTTGTACCTCTTTCGTGTGGAGAAGCTGCTGCCCTGGAGGGTCGTGCCGCTGACCAGATATGTCGTGTGCTTGGTCAGACCATGCTGTCGCGTCTCGGGGTCACTAACACACACCTACGGGCACCACACAAACCACATGCGCGCCGGTGCTGCTGCCTGCCTGTCTGTGTCTGCATCTTGGGTGTGTCAAGCACGTACAGCGTACGTGTCTGCGTGTGTGTGAGTGTGTGTGTGTGTGTCCGTGCAGATGTATGCGTTGTTCCTCTCTCCCTCCACCCACTTGCTCACTTGATGTTCAGCGCGGATGGCCTCCGATCCCCACTTGCTGTGCGAGTCGAACTCTTCGTACTCTGTCGCGACCTCCGTGTCCACCGCTGCCGTCGATAGCCCGTCACCCTCCATCATCGGGCGTTCGTTCTTAAAGCTTTTCGAGTTAGAGCCCAAGTGCAGAAAGTGATGCGGATCGCCCCCGACAACACATCGTGTTTTTGGTTTCGTGTTCACAGCACCTCTCCCGCTGATTCACGGCAATGATGAGTCACTAAGTGTCTGGTGATGTCGGTCCACCCTTCCCGGAAAATTGTTCAGCTCGTGGAAGATAAGACTAGCTGCAGAGCAGCATGAATGGCTTGCCTTTGAGCCCACAGTAGCATTTGCAGTGAAAAAGCGAGTCAAGAACCATCGTCAGATGAGCAGGTGGCCACCTACGGCCCTCCTCACCAACAGAGTGAGGATTGCTACTCTCGAGAGCCTCCCCCCGCCCCTCTCGAGAGCCATAGACGTCATCATCGCACCGACTGCCTCCTCTCTTTTCCAAGTTGTTCGACCTTCCAAGTCGATCGACAGCACGGAATGATGCTCTTAGTTGGCAAAGGTCAATCAATTGCATCTGTCTGTCCGTCTATAGCCATGGCCGTACGTCGCGGCCAAGCCAAAGGCAGGAGACAGCTGGACAGACAGACAGACAGACAGGCAGGCAAACGGGCTCCGGCGTGAGTCTGTCAGTCAGTGATTTCGTCGCTCGATTCCGGTCTTAATCTGTACCTATGAGGTACCGAGGGAAGAGACCGCCACACGAAGCGGGTGTCTGCACATCTCTCTGAAAGTGTATGTGCACATGTGTGCTATAGCTATATTGGACAATCAATTGGTGCGAATCGAAGAGGTCCCAAACGCTCACCTACTCCACTCGGACTAGCTCACTCTCTTGTCTCTCTATTGTACAAGAGCACGGCTACACTCACAAGTACAGAGAGGTCGCAAATGGTAGAACTGGAATGTCCCATCAGATCAACGCAGACACTCCAATCACTTCTTAGCTCCGTTGCTGCTACCGACAAATGATTCAATGCCCCACTCGCTGCATGGTCATCTTGGTGGTGGCGCAGCTTGGCTGCCATTGTTCTGGTGATGAGACACCTCTTTAGCAAGATCCCCGCCCACCAAACCAGCCGCAGCACCAGCAGTTGCAGCAGCCGTGCTGTTTCTCGTATCGTTTGCAGCTTGGGCTTCTACAGCTGGGCTGCTGTCTCGCTGTGCGCTCTGCGTGTCATTAGTTCTCCGAGTGTCGTTGTGCTGCATCATCACCAACGTCGATGTCGTGTTGTCTAGAGGACGTGTCACCGGCTCGGTGTGCGTCATGGTCGCGGTGCCGTTCGGATGATGCTGCATACGCATGCACGCGTTATTACGATTGTTCGTTGGCTTAGGGAAGTGTACCTGTATCTCAAAATGGATCTCGGTGATATGCCCGCCTCCTCTTGGCTGCCCCACATATCCCCCTGCACACACCATGAATGGATACCTGTCTCATGTATGGAGCGGCATGTCTCGATGACCTTCGAATGCGTCCGTGCTGTCACTGTCTTCTGACTGGTCGAATGTCTCAGATGACCGGTAGGCATCGGTTCTGGCCGGCGGCCTCTCGATGCCAGGCTCCTTTTGAGGCTCTTCTGGGGCTTCGACGCGAGGCCGTGGCCGCCAGTGTCGGTGGGGAGACACTTTTTCCAGCTCTGAACAAAGAAAGGCAAAAAAACTGGCGTTCAAGCACTAGGAAATAGATGACTGGAGCTATGGCTTGGGCTGGTCGTACCGCTGTCCATTATATCCTCGAGGCTCTCTGGCTTCTCCTTCTCTGTATCCATTGATTGATTGCACACGGAAAGAAGCAGGCCGGGAGGGAGTGAGACACGTCACACATGCACAGAATCGGTGAGTGCTTTGGTGCGTGGGTGCCTTTACCTGTGGGCAGGGTTGGCGAGCTGGAGGTCGCCGCATATCCTCTCTCCTCCCACTCACCTTGCGCACGCGACACAGTGACACACGTGCTCCCTTACTTTGTTAGCTTCCTCACCTGGGACAAGCGGCTTCTCTTCTTCTTTAGGTACAGGGACCTCCTCGACCCGCCGTTCGGCAGGCCTTGGTTTCTCTTGGGGCTTCGTTTCAACCTCTGTCTCGGACTCCTCCTCCTCGGTGTATGGAGAGGCGATGTCGGCCCAATGAGCCATCCGCTCATACTCTTCTTCCTTTGTCTGAGGCCCGTGAGGTGCCATGGGCTCTCTAAAACTCGGTCTTGGCGGGGTGCGGGGCTCTGCTGCTTTCGGTGCCGGTGCTGGTGATGGTGCGGGGGGTACCCTTACTTGTGGGATGGGGGGTACCCTTACTTGTGGGATGGGGCGTCTGGACGATGGCTCGGGCGGCAGCTCGTCGTCCTCATCGGTGTCCAACACATCCTCCTCTAACTCTGTCTCTTCCGTCTCTTCCGTCTCTTCAGAAGGTGGCGAGGTGATGTTCGCGAGGTGACCTATGCGCTCATACTCAGATTCCTCGGTCACTGTCTCATACGGTGCCCTTCTTTTCTGTGGCTGGACTCGCGACACAGGAGAGGCGCGGCCGCGCTGGCGCTTTCTCGGTAGCTCCGTCTCGAATGGCTCAGTGAGGCTTCCTTCAGTCTTTGATGGCTCGATGAGGCTTTCTTCCTCACTGATGGCTTCTGGTGGCCGTGCTTTTATTGGCACTGTGGGAGGCTTCGGAGGGCCGTGACGTCGACGCGCCCTCTCTTTCGCGACTTGTCTCTGTGGAGGGCTCACGACTCTTTCCGCGTTCACTTCCTCCCCCTCGATCGACGTCCAGTTGCCCTCAGTCTCCGTTTCCGTCACCGTCGTCTCCCGTTCAGGTTCCCTCGCTTGAGGCCTCCTCTGCCGCTGCGGTCGAGGGACTTTTGTCTCTTCTTCAGTGGCCGGTGTTTTCTCCGTTTCCGTCTCCATCTCGGACTCATATGCTTCTGTCTTCCTCCTTTCTCTTCTTGCTTGTGGCTCTCGTGGCTTTTCACCCAACTCTGGTGCTGGTGGGGGTAAAACCCTTGAGACGGGCGGGATGTGACCGGCCTCTTGTTTCTTGCGCCGTCCACGCACCGGGTGTAGTTCTTCCTCTTCTCGCAGTCGGCTCGGCGCCTTGAAGCCATAGCCGCCCACGATGGCGGGTTTGCGGAAGACGCCGACTTGGGCACTGATGGGCGGACGCCCTGGCCTTTCCTCCTCTGCCGTCTCTTCCAGTTCCTCCTCGCTATACGGCGATTCGCTATCAGCCCAATGGCCCAGACGCTCATACTCATCCCCTGTCTCTGTCTCTGTCTCGGACGACGTCACAGATTCCTCAGCCTTCGGTCTCGCGTATGGCGCCGGTGCCTTGGGTGCTAGGGCTGCAGGCGCCCTCATTTTGCTAGCTCCATCGACAGTATCAAGCGGCACTTCTTCGTCTTCACTATCCACAACCTCCTCCTCCTCCTCCTCCTCGCGTGATGGCTCTTCTTCTGCAGAAACGGGCGATGTGATATTCGCCAAGTGCCCCACTTCTTCTTCCGTCTCTGTGCCGCTTTCTCCTTCTTCCTCTATTGTCTCTGGTTGTTCCTCCTCAAATTTCACTCGCCTTTTTGGAGTGCCGAGAGCTGCGGTTGGGGCTGTCTCTCTCTTGCCGCCCCTCTCTCTCTCGCCGCGTCTCTTGTCAGGGAGTTCTTGCCTCATCATGGCGTCCGTCTCGTTTCGTCCTGGCGGCCGCTCTTCCTCCGACCATTCGGCTTCTGACGGCCACTCCTCCTCTGACAACGATGATGCCTCGCCCCCGGATATGTCGCTGACCGGGGGATATGTCTCCTTTTCCTCCTCTTCTTCAGTGGTCGTCTCAGTGGTAGTCTCCGTTGGTCCTTCCTCACCAATTGATGGAGTCTTCTTGCCGGGGACCTTCCTCTCCGTCACTTTTTCTGCAAGGGTCGGCTCTGCAGGAGTAGGCCGCCTGCCCGGAGCTCTGCCCGACCCCACCCTCCTCTTGGCAATGATGACCCTCCTCCGGACGACGGGCTGCTCCTCTAGCTGCTCCTCCTCTGATGTCGAATACTCCTCGGGCGGTGGTGTCTCCTCCCCTTCCTCTTCATACGAGTATTCCTCGTCGGCGACACGTGGATGTGCGGTGAAGTTGTACTCTCGCTGCTCGCGGGTCAGCTCTAGCCAGTATGGGTGACAGAGGAAGAAGTTGAGCTCCTCCTCATTGTCGCGCGAACTCGTGATGGAAGGATCCATGTACTGACACACACACACGCACAGAGAGAGAGAGAGACACGATTGAGCATTGCGTTCTTGGGCCGGATCGCCTACCTTGCTATAGAGGTGGATGCCTTCGCGAAATGCGCTGCTCGGGTCAGTCCCGAAACACTCGCAGGCTCCCTTGCTGGGCACGCTGATGCACACACATGGAGGGAGAAATTTAGTGCGGGTCGGGATTTTGAGTATCAAGTGCTCTCTCTCACCATTTGTTCGTCACGCAGTCAGTGTCATATTGGCACTGCATGCCGCCGATCAGCTTGAAGCGCTGCATATCGGAAAAGACCTGCATGCATGGACAGATTTTACACCAACCAAACATGAAAGCAGACAGGGATGGAGAATGTAGCAGGGACGTGTTTGATTCTGGATGCATCCATCCAATCCTCACGTCGATGACCTCCCGTAGCTTCTCGTGGACGCCCAGAGCAAGCCGAATAATAGTCGTCCGTGACATGTCCTGCACACCCAAGCGCAGAAGTGGTTCCGCTATTCCTCTGGTCTCTCACAATCGCTGGCTGTCTTACGGCGAGCTTGTGTCTCCCGCCGTGTGCCATGTCCTCGCTGATGCGCCGACCAATCATGTGCAGGGGACTGTAGCCGTGCTGCGATGAAAGCAACCCGAGACACACACACAAATGCCATGAACTCACGTTGGGAGCTCATTCATCTGTTGGCCGCTTACGATGCCCGTGATCTGCAGATTGGGGTGCTATTTGTTGAGAAGCATTTTGATGTCGTTGAAGTGAAGAAACACAAGCATCACCATCGGAGTGTTGCAACGCTGATGGAGAAATGACAGGCAAACAAACAAACAAACAAACCAACAAACAAACATGTGCATGAATGTGTGCGCGTGTGCACGTGTGTGTGTACATTGTCGGGTGCATCAAGCAGCTGTCGGCGCTCGTAGTCGGTTTGAACGCCGAGCAGCAGTTGTTCGATCGCCTGTGGCGATGTGATGGGGCTCACAATGCCCACTTTCTCCGCCTCGATCCACTGGCGCTTCGACGGCATCAGAGCATACCACACTGCTGTGTGACCAGACTGCAGCAGAAGGGAGACAAAGCGAGAAGCATGCACTGGTGTGGCGTGGCAGGTGATCGATCCGTTTTTGCTTCCTTACATTGTCTTGTACGTGGATGAGGTCGTGGTGGTATTGGTTGCAGTCCTGCTCGAGCAGAAATCGGATGGCCTTAAGCTTCTTGACGTACGACGCAACCATCAGGGTCGTCATGCCCAGCTACAATACACACCCACGTAAACACAAACACGAGAGTGGTCGCGGCTGAATGAACGTGACGTTCATCGTGTCTCTCTTCTTACCTTGCCGTAGACGCACTCGATTGCCTGCGGTACATCTTTCAATGTCTTTCCCATCGCATCGACATCATCATGTATGGTCGCGTTCAGGAACACAGAGCCTGAGACACACCGACCATCTTGCCCTCCCTGACCCGTCTCGCCTCGTTCTTACAGATAGCCGATCGGCTGTGGCCGCACAGCACAGGGGATATCTCGGCCTCGCCCCGGAGCGGTCGGAACACGCTGCCACCCAGCAGCGTCCAGTCCAGGTACTCGCGGTCGCACAAACACTCTCCGGCAGAGCTGCAAATGGAGAAAGAAGACACATAGCAAAAGATGGCCTTTGTAGTCCTTTGTATTGCAGTCTCGCACCAAGCGGTGAGGCATTCTTGGTGCTGGAATGGCGTGCACAGCATCCCCCCGATCCGCTTGGCAGAGCCGTCGACCGAGCTACGGTAAGTCTCCAGCTCTTGCTGTAGCCGCCGCCTGCATTGATGCGACACGGCATGCAAGCACACGATGCGCCAGACACACTGACCTGAGCTCAATGAAGGCATCTTTGTCTTTTTCTAGCAGGTCTGCGGCCGCCTTGTGTGTTTGAGTGATCCTCCGCCGCAACACAAAGGGATCGCCCATTTCTTTCAGCCGACGGACTGCCGCTTCGCTGCATGCAGAGGCACCAGGCTCTGTCGTCCCTTTCCCCCCCTCCCCTCCCTGCTCCCCTTCTCTGTCGCTCTCGCTCTCGGTGTCCGACCAGCCTTCAACGTCCAAGTAGTCCGTATTTGGCTCGGTCTTAATCTGAGAGCGATCACCTGTGTCGGTCAAGTTCCTGTCGCTGTCCGACCACCCCTGGATGTCCATGTAGTTGTCATTGTCGCCACTGTCCTCCGTCACACTGTAATCATGCTCGCTGTAGCTGCTGTCGTTGCTGTGTCCTTGCCCTGGTGTCGATGTCCACACCGTTTCGACGAAGGAGGACGCGGGCAGCGGCGATGGACGGGAGGTGCGTGTGCTCTTTGACGCCTTGGTGCCATTGCGTATGCTGGTTGTTTGCACATAGCTCGCGTTGCTCTCCGTGCTCTGACTCTCTGTTACGTTGCTCTCGGATGCGCTCCCGCTGCTGTTGGCGTCCTCCTCCTGTGCAGTGTGTCTTCTGGCTGGCGTCTCCTCGGTAGAGTTTCCCTCAGCTATCGTAGTGTTGGAATCCTCGTACGCTTCAGACTCTCCTTCAGAGCCTTCTGTCTCCTCCTCTGTAGTATTGACCCCCCGCTGTCCCTCGGACATCTCAGTGTTCTTTTCAGTGGCGGTTGTGTTGGCGTCCTCAGACACATCAGACTTTTCAAAATCTGTCTCCGTTTCGTTGCCGTCGACGTGTCTGGTGGTGTTGTTAGTCTCGTTGGCGGCAGCTCTTGTCTGATTGGCCGGCAATGGCGTGAGCTTCCATGGCTCGGCCTTCCCCGGGGATCGCTTGATGGGCTTCGTCTTGCTAGTCCCGTCGGCAGGGCGGGTGGACGGCACCTTTTTGCTGTCCAGCAGCAGTTCCCGCTGCAGGATATGCAGCAGGCCGTACAGAAAAGGGGACGTCTCCTGCACACACACACACACACACACACGTACACACAGAGTCGCAGGAGTGGACATCGGGGCCCGTCGGTCGACAGACAGAGAGACCCTGCTTGCCTTGGCGGTGTGGGCTGGTTTGCCTTCACACGGGTAGACGCCCGGAAGGGCCAGACAGTGGGCGTGGAAGCTGTCGGCTAGACCCTTGGACGTCATCTATCGGTGCATGCGTATCATGCGTGTATGTAGGTGTTGAGGGCAGTCATGTGTGTGTCCTGAATGGTTCACCATATGGCTGGAAGGCCACGCCAAGGGAGACTCACCCATAGAGGCTGTCCAGCACCAAAAGGAGCACACAGATAGCGCCCTTTCCGTCGTGTTTGCCATTATGTGGGGCGTCATGGCTTACAGGCGGTTTCCAGCTGCCGAGGCTCATGTCATAGGATGCAACAAGAGGCTCGAGCAGATCATAGCGGGCCAAGGGCGTCGCCGCGATGGCCATCATTTCGCTGAATTGCGCTCCGTCCCCCAGATGCACGGCCAGCTGCAGAGGGTTGCGGCCCTCCTGAGCGATTCGACCATCCACACATGGAGACACATACAGGAAAGGAGGGAGGAAGAAAGCTGCTGTGCGTGTGAGTGCTGCCCATGTGTGTACCTGGTCAGCTGCGTATCTGAGTGTCGCGCCGCGCTGGTCGTCTTCCCGCAGTCCCTGCAGCATTGCCACGACCGACGCCTCGCCCCCACTGCACGAGTGCAGACAAGATGAAGGGAGCAAGGCAGACTCCCACACGCATCCACTATGGTCGTGAGCTTACAGAGCCTTCCTCATGTACACGGCCTGTGAACAAAATGAATGAATGAATGAATGAATGAGAAGATGAAGGCCGAAAGGTGAGCCATCTGGCGTCGTCTCGGCACTTACGATGTGAAGGGGCGTGTCTCCGTAGAAGTGCGAGTGCAGACGCCCTCTGGTCCAGCTACAGGCATACATCAAGCGCCATGTGCTGATGTCGTCGCTGCCTGCACCTATCCAGCTTCCCTGACCTTCCCGCTGATGCTGAGGCGTCATGTCTCGGTGTGTGTGTTCTGAGCTGCATCTTGAGGTGCGATGGCCACTTTGCTGCCAGCGCACGCATGATATCCGATGACGCCCCCGTGACCACAGCCCAACGAAGTGGAGATTCGCCGCGCTGCAAAACGTCGACCGATGATCCATGGATGCTGGTCGTGAATGTCTCCGTCGCGTTTTGTATGTGCGGCTGACCAGTGGGTCAGCACAGTCGTGCGCATTGGCGAAGATGCTGCTGTTCTTCAAAAGGGCCTCGACATTTGCTCTGTTGTTGGTGGTGATGGACTCGTAGAGCTGCACACCTGCAGCCACGAGCAACAGACACACACGCGTCTGGCCAAGAAAGCAGAGAGAGGGGATATGTCCATTGTTTACATGGATGGCAGAGCAGGCTGGTGGTCTCCCTCCAGACAGGCTGCTCTCCCTGCTGAATGCACTCGCAGTGACCGTTGTCCGCCTCAAAGGCGTCCAGCACACTGTATTTGCATACACGGCTCATAGACCGACAAGCCATACACCAAGGAAGCACACGTGAATGCTGCTTACCATTTTCCAGCACATGGGAGGGGTCCACTGGCGTGCTCGAGTGAGCAGCCGCCGCCACGGGGAGTCAGCACATCTACAAAAGGCACATCATCAATCACAAGGTCTGGGTCGTGTGTCCTATGTACCGGTGTCATCGATGGGCATTCCCGTGTCTTGGCCCGATGACGTTTGCTTGAGTGTGGCGTCTGCCTCCAGGTCCTCCTTGCCGAAGCCTCCCGACACGTAGTCGATGTGCGTCGAGTTGACAGCGTCGCCTCTGGTCGTGTTTGTCTGAACGAGAGAGACACACACAGAAAATGAGGCGCTGACAGCGGTGTGTGTTTGCCTCAGAAACGACCTTGGGGCTGCCATTGACGATAGCCGAAGCACCCAGCTGTGAGAAGCTGTACTCTTCTTCTGATCCAGAGGTCTCCGTCTCCGACTCACCGCTGTCTGGTGAGTCAGCGTCGGGCCAGTGGCGAATATTTTCATGCTGACTGCTCTCTTCGCCTGATTCCTCATCAGAGGGCGTCTCACTCTCGCTCTCCGACTCGGCCACATCCCCCTTCGGTTGTGGTGGTTCTTCCTCACTTTTACTCTCTTCCTTCAAGTAATCGCCTTCATCTCTCTCCTCCTCGACTTCACTCTCCTCACTCGAGTTGCCGTACTCAGACACAGTCGTGTTGTGGTCCTCTGTCTCGTCCTCACCTGCGGCGCCGCCTTTCCCCTCCCGCCCATCTGGCCCCTGTTGGCGGCCGGCTGTGGTATTCACCTCCACTTGCGCTCCACGGCGTGGCGGTGTCGCCGCGCTTGTGTCTCTGGGCGGCGGCAGGCGCACTGGAGGCGGGCCTTTGCAGACTTTCATGTACTCGGTGTCAGCGTCGGTCAGCGGGTCGTGTGTCATGAGGATAGAATACGGGTTTTCGCGCCACCGGGCGGCACGGAATAGGGCGCGGCCCATCAAACGCCACTCGTGCTGCATGAAAGCAAGTAGGCGTGTGAGGCAGCCCAGCCACTCACCGGTCAGTCGAGAAAAGGGCGCCTGCCTACCTTCATGGTGGCTATGGTGGCCAGCAAATCAGCGTACGACTGGATAGCGCGGCTGACGCGGACCTCTCGCTGACATGCAGAGATAGAAGGGAGAGATATGCATGGCCCAAGGATGGTTAATTGATCTTTCCTTTGTCTGTACCTGGATGAGACGCATCATTGTGTCTGTTGAAGTAAGCCCCGCCTGATGCATGCAGCACACACAATCGTAGCCCCGTCCGTGTGTATGTGTCGGTTGCTGACATTATCTGGCTGTTTGATCAGCTTGACGGCACGGAGCGTGGCAACAAGGTCGACAAACACTCGGACACTCAGCTGTGTGCAGTACCAAATAAATAAGTGCACAAATGTAGGATACATGTTCTTGTGCATACTGCGCATCCGTCTGGGGCAATGACTGGCCGTTTGACGGTTGGTCGCTGTTGCGTGCGGGAGGGGAAGATACCGTTGTGACAGTGAAGGGGGGTGCGACCATACTAGGACACACACACACACACACGCCACACAACCGTCAAGCAGGCGGCCGACGATATGAGAGCTTGTTTACCTTGTCTTTGGCCGTCCGGATGTCCCCCGCTGCACTGGATCCCAGAGCAGCGGTTCCCTCACGGACCAGCAGGGCACTCAACTCCACCGCCCCGACAGACACAGCCCAATGCAGGGGCGTCATCCCATTCTTGGTAATGTGACAAAATGCCACACGAACAGCAGCCTCGATTGGATCGATATGATATGAATGGCCTTCCCTTCCCTGCCCGCCCACCTTTTCTTTTTCAAGCAGGGCGTCGCCGAGCAGATTGCTGTTGCGGTAGGCATAGAAGAGGCGCCGCCAACATGACGGGTGGTACGCAGCCACATGCAGCGGAGTCGCGCCGGTCTAGAAGGCAGCCACAAGAAGCATCAAATGCAGACGTACACACACACTGCTCTGTCATATATGTCAGCTTGTGACCAGCCCACCGTGTCGTCTTTGCAGAGTAGGTGTTGAATGTCGTGTGCAAAGTCCCCCCAGCACCCGCCAGGCAGGATCTCGACAAACATACGCTGACCTGACACCAAAGGGCAACAAGACGATACATACAAGAGCTATTTATTGTGTGCATGACCTCACTTACATGTGACGTGTCCGCCCTCCAGCACTTGCATGACGGACAGCTGGGGCGGGCCGTCCTCCCTCAACACACTCCCCTCCGCCACTCCCACGCTGCCGTGAGATGAAGTATTCATTTGCCCCCGTCGGATGTCGTCGAGGAGTGCAGCGGCCATTCTAGGGGACTCGTACATCACAGAAGCATCACCGGCCTCATCAGCTGCCGCACTGCCTGCCGGCTGATCCACGGAATGACGGACCGTCTGCTTGTCAACCTTCGTTGCAGCGGCTTCCTTTTGAGCAGAAGCAGGCCAGAAGAAGGCAATGATGCGGCCGAGAATACTCCGCCGGTCTGGCTTGGTTTGGTCATCTGCAGCTGTACTCTGGCTGTGTTCCCTGGACTGTCTTGAGTGCGACAAGGGGATAATGAGGAAGAGGGCAACAAACAAGCAGGAGAGCCGCCAATGGGGTCTTCTGAAGGGCAGGGGCGGCATCGGCTTTATGGGGAGGAACACGATCAGAAAGGCACTCAGGGCGAAGCGGCCAGCACACGAGGGAATAGCCAAACGCACCAACCGACGCATGATGGCCGATGAACAGCCCAGTGAGCTGATAAGCTGACGGTTAAGGTTGCCTCCAGCCGGCCGGGATCCCTTGAGACAGGTCCCGAGACAGGAGATGTAACGTTGACGGGGAACGAAAGAGTCGACATCAAGATGGCATGATCTGGTCTACCGATTGCCCCCCCAGCGCTCGTCGGAACCCCTGTCCTCCAGAAACGGCTGATGATCAGGCGCCTGGCCAACGACGACACCGATGGATAGTCGTCAGACGTGCATGGGGGCCGCCCCCAGATGCATGCAAAGCTCGCAGTCTCACGGCATCTGATATTTCTCCGCAGCTCTACTGCTCGGATCGGCGACGAAGACGTCGTGCACTGACCCTTTCATTGCAACTATCTTCCATTTTGCATGGCTATGACGATGCGACCCTTCCTGAGGCCTGCCCTTTACCTTCTGCTCTTCGCCATTATCCCTCTTTGCTGCTGCGTGTCCATGCGTCACCACCACGGCACCAACCGCACTCTATCCCTCCGCCAGCCCGGCGAGCACCTGAATGGCGTCATCTCTCTCGTTGCAAAGGGGAGGCGTCAGGGTCTCGCCAAGAGGCAGAAACTGTCCCGGTACGTCATGAGGAAGCGGGCGGCCGCCATGATGCTTGCACGCGTGGCGGAGGCGCAGCGGCAGGCGTCAGCAGTGCGGGCCATGAGCGGGGCGCTCACATTCGCAAATTACGTCGAGGGGGAGGGACCTGAGCAGCCGGCCATCCTCGAGAAAATCGATGACGGCAGTATTCCATGTGTGTGCACAGGCCGCATTGCATCATCACGCGGCCCGATGGCTGGAGAAAGGGATTGCTGTGTCTGCCCTTTTGGCTCTGTGTGTATGTAGGCTCTCGTATGTTCCTCGATTTGCTGCCCGGCGGATGTACTCGCGAGTTCGTCCACGACGCCAAACACCTCAAGTGCAAAGACGCAAAGATGGGTAAGCATTGAATATGAGGAGCGGCCAGACGTATCCATGCCTTGATCTGATACCACAGACGGGCGCCACGCCGCTGCACGTGGCCGCCTACTATCCTTCCTGCTGGCGGCGCGTGGTGGACGCCTACCGAGACACAGACCTCCTCAGACAAGCCATCCACGAGCAGGACACCGTACACATACACACACACACACACACACACACATACATCTGCACATAGACAGATGGATGGACACCGTCGGTTCTTTTGTCTCTTGTCATTACAGGCGGGCAAGACGCCATTGCACTGGGCAGTGTCGCTTGGGGCCTTCGACTTGGCACAGATTCTTATACTTGGGGGCGGTATTGACATACTCGGGGCCAGAGATAAGGCATGCACGCAATGATAGAGCCACACACACACACACACACACACACGCACGCACGCTTGTGTTTCTCTTTGTCCGGCCTGTCTTCGCTGTTCGCAGCTGATGCGCAATCCGCTTCATTGCGACAACGGGCTGCCGCCTCCGACAGCACGGCGGCCGAGTGTTGAAGAGCCCGTTATCATTCCCCTCGGCTGCAGAGTGACCAAACACACACACACACGCACACACATGCACATGTCTGAGTTGATGTGTTCTTTCTGTCCCCTTTGTCCATTCTTTGGCGCAGATCACGGCCGTCCAGCTGGGCCGCTTCATCACGAGCGTCAAGGGGGAGGTGGTGCTCTATCAGCCCGACTCGGTGAAAAAACATGATGGACAGAAACCCGAGGTCATTCATCTGCATGTCATGTGTGTTTGTGGTGTGCAGCATGGCTTGACGCCCCTCGATACGCTCATTCGTCTGCTCGAGGTGGGCCACGTGATACGATGAAAAGACAGACAGAGGCAAGGACGTGTGATGTGTGTGTTGCCGGATGTCTTATGGCGGTCACTGCTCAGCGAGAGCTGCGTGGTCTGGCCCGTCCGCGGTGCTTTGTTGAGCTCAAGACGGAGATCATCGAGCTGCAGGTCGAAATGGCCGCGCTCCTCACCGAGCTGGAGGCCAACGCCGCCATCAGAGACGGCGACAATGGTACAACACAGACAGATACACACATGAAGACACCACCATGCACTCGGCTGTCTTGCAGCCATGATGTTCTCGGAGTCTCCCTTTGAAAAAGCCTTCCACGCCTTCGAGGCCAAGTGCCACACACACCGGACCCCTCCACCCCCACCTTACAGCCCCCCGCTCGCCGAGGCACTCCAGCATGCCCGTGTCTCGGGCCTGGCAGACAATACCGGCCAGACGCCAGACACCGTACTATTCGCCCGCCCGCTCACCCACAGCTATAATGTCGCTGACATGGCGAGGCACCTGAGGGATGTGCTGACTGGTTCCGGCAGAGGGGTGGAGGGCGGGGGCTCCGGGTATAAAGCCCGCTACGGCGATGCGGCATTGAGGCGACCGGGGGCCTTCGTGCAGACAGGCGGGGCAGCTGAAGGAGGCGGCCGAGAGGGAGAGGGAGACGCAGCTGAGATGGAGACGGAAGATGACAAGAGCCATGGGATAAGAGGTAGGTACTTCATTTATTGCCTTAAGGGACAGAACAGCAGGGCAGGGATGCTCTTCGTGTGGTGTGTGTGGTGCCTGTCTTCCCAGTGTTTCCTTTGCCCATGGGTATGCCCTGCAAACCAGGCTCGCAGGACGCAAAGAACGCATGTGCTTCAGGAGACTGGTAGGCAGTGCAGTCCTGTGGCGCGTCGCCAGCCCACGTGTGTGCGCGTTTTGGTCAGCATCCACAGTGCCTTTGATCGCTATGAGAGGGGCCACTGCCAGTGCTTCGTCTGTGACACTCCCACCACCAGACGGCACACGTCTGTCCTGTGCCACCCCTGTAAGCAGGCATCGGTCCCTGTGTGTGTTGTTCATCGTCTCTCTCTCTCTCTCTCTCTGTCTGTCTCTCCCTCTCTGTGTCTCGGCATCTGTGTGCGACGAAGGCATCCAGCTATACGAGGCCATAATGAAGAAGAACCTGGCTGCCGTCAAGGCCATCCTCGCAGACGCTGAAAATTTCGCTGAGATCACCGACTGTGCCGATGTGGCGGTACGTAAGAGACAAAGAACACACACCGCACCGCGGTCCCATGTTTGCACGTGTCTCGCTGCTGCTGTCAGCACGGCGCGACGCCGCTGCACTGGGCCATTCTGAGTGGCGCCGGCCGGAGCGTTCAATTCTACCTGGTGCACAAGTGGCCGCACCACACAATGGCCAGGGCCCACTCCAAGGTGCGAGCATGTGCCCAGCTCCAAGGGCACACTTCGGCATCGTTTGTTTGTTCGGTGGCATCCAGGTGTTCCAGATCGAGTACATCCCTCCACAAGTCATGCGGTCAGCCACACATAAGCAGCCAGCCAGCCACACTGACTCATCCATCTGCTGTGCTGACCTGTCTGTCTGTCTCACTGTGACCGTACTCGGTGCCAGTGAGCACCCCGGGAGCGTGTTTCCGTTGTTTCAGGGCGACACGCCCCTGCACATGGCCGCCTACCTGGGTGCCATCCGGCGCGACCCCTCGATGGTCCCATCACTCCTCGAAGGACTGGAGGACGACGCCAGCAGACTCAGCACACTCAGACATGCCGTTGACTCGGTGAGTGAGTCGAGAGTATACACACAGACACAACTGCAATGGCCTAATTTCTCCGCGTGTGTGTGTCTTGTGTGTGTGTGGCTGTATGTATGGTGCGGTGCAGGACGGTCGGAATGTGCTTCAGGTGGTGGTGCAGATGGGCGATCTGAGGCAGCTGGACGCCATCCTCAGCTACGCCCGCACCGACGTGCAGCGCTATGACCTGCTCAAGCCGCTCCCTCACAAACTCGCCGCCACTGACCACTACTGGACGCCAGAGGTGAGCTTGATCTGTCTGTCGATGAACGACTGTGTGTGCGGTGCGCATGGTGGGCAATGAATGGGTATTGTGTGTGTGCTGCAGCCCGTGATGAACGAGTCGCCCCTATCATGGCCGGCAACGCACCCAGTGAGCCAGGCACGGGACTGACCGAGACGTGATAGAGATTGGTGTGTGTGTGTGTGTGCGATGTGTCTATCTATTCAGTTGGGCGCGGCTGAGCTGTCGGATGCTTTCAGAAAATACTGTGTGGCTGTGCCGGGTGAGCTTAGCGTGTGCACGAGTGGGTCACCGACAAACACCACACCCACACACGTCATCTCCATCTTTCTACAGGCGCCTGGCCATGTGAGAACTCCCCGCCCTTCGCCGGCAGCGTAAGCTGACCCACCGACAGACGAGAGAGAGACACACACATGCACATGCACACACGCCTGTCTGTCTGTCTGCACATGCATACATCACTGTCTGTCAGGGTAGCTCGCCCTACTTGTATGCCCTGCTGTACGGGCTGCAACGGAAGATGCTCCAGCACCGCACATACGAATACGAGATGGGACCCAAACTGCAAGTGCCGCCCGACGAGCCATACAGATCCGACCCGGACACGGAGGAAGGTCGCGCCGACGACGCCAGGAAGCAGCAAGTGCATGCCACCTTCAGCAGCAAGATACGGCACGATCTGCAGCAGACCGCCCGGCTGGGTGTGGCGGGGCTGCTCGAGAAAGGCGCGGAGTGGTTGCCCTTCGCATTCCTTCAGCACGTGAATAATGCCACTGCAGCGACGGGAGACACTTCGCCTTTCGACTACGGTATCGATGATCTATGTCCACAAGGCTAATGCATTTCTATCTGCGCATGTGTGTGTGTGTGTGTGTGTGTGTGCAGCGAAGATCGGCGAGGGTCAGCTGTCCGATTTCGAGTGCTACAGGTCGTCGCTGCAGATGCTCAAGGAGCTGGTCAGCCCCTACAACCTCAGGAGACAAATCAGACGGAACCTCGCACTCGCCCTCGACATGGAGAGACGAGACGCAGTCGAATTCTACCTTAACCGGTCGGTCAGCCAATCCACATCGTGGGCCGCTGCGGGGATTAATCCTTCTTACTCACTCTTGGTCTCTTTGGCTCCTTCCCTTTTGTGTGTGTGCGTAGGTGTTATTTGCAGGAGACATTGGAGGATTACAGGCTGCGCGTCGACCCCCATGCCAAGAAGATCGGCGGCATGCAGTGCCACCCATTCAACCACTCCCAGTGCCTCACCGTCTGGTGCGCTGAGATGAGATGGGCGAAGGAAGGAGACAGAGAGGTGAACATCGATGTCTTGTGTGTGGTGTGTCGGTCGATGTCTCTGTCGGTCGGTCAGTTCTGCGGGTGAGTGTTTGTGTGACCTGGAGTGGTCTGACTGGAGCATGGTGCACCATGCGGGGCCGCACGGCATCATGGGCGAGGGGGTCATCTCACCGATACTCTGCAACATGCCAAACCAGAAGAAGTGTACTGTACCCACAGATTACTCTCTCTCTATCTCTCTCTCTCCTCTGCGGACACCATCAGAGAGAGAATGTGCCTTTTGTTTCCATGCGATTTGTGCAGGTTACGATTTGCTGGAGGCGATAGCGGCTGACGACGGTGTGGCCATTGAGGGCATCATCAGGGGCAGCCCTGACGCAGCTGCATGCGTCTGGGAGAGGGTCAGAGCGCCATACATACAGCAGAGACAGAAACACGCACGGCCAGACAGCTGGCGATCATGTGTGTACTCACACAAATATATATACAGGTTGGCATGACCGTGGTGATGATGGCTGCCTTTGCCAAGAAGCTCACGGCACTCAAGACGCTCTTGCGGCTCGACTGCACCACACTTGGACTCGACCTCGCCAATAAACGAGACACGGTCGGCAAGTGGTCACACACACGGATACACAGACACACTGTGCACTCGCCGTGTGTGTCTGCGTGTTGATTGCCCCGCCACAGACGGGCGCCACGGCCTATTTCTATGCCCTGATGCCAACTCGGTCGGCCATCCCCTCAGATCTGACCAGACACACGGCCTGGTGCGCAAGGGGGCACAGTGTGGTGTGTTTGTGCTGGTCTGTCTGTTGATGCGCGAGAGAGGAGGGAATGGCGTGTCTCTCCTGTCCTGTGGTGTCCTTGTTGGTCCACCACACAGACGCCTGTGGTGAGTGCGAATGCCTTGGAGGTGCTGCTGGCGGCCGCCGATAGCGACTTCCAAAGGAGACAAGTGCTGTCGGCCACAGACGAGGTGGGGCAAAGGGCATACATCACACGTATCGCTTCATCGGTGGGGGTTTGTTTCTTTGTGCGTGTCTGCCGGCCAGCGGGGGCACAGTCCCCTGATGATGTCGGTCTTCTTAGACTACGACGCCATCTACCACCTCGCCGACAAATACCACCCCAAGATGGACATACTCAACAAAGTGTGTGCTGTGACGTGCTGTGCTGAATCTATCTAGAGACTATCCATTCATTCATGTGTCGGTGGGTGTTTGTGTCTCCCACATCCACAGCACGGCTTCACGCCTCTGCACATGGTGGCTCGCCGGCTCAGCGAGGAGGCCATCGACGGCAACGAAGAGAAAGCCAAAGTATGAGCTGCAGTGCAGTCAGGCCGTCAATGTCCACACGTCTCCCTCTGTCTCTCTCAGCGTCTGGGTGAGAGGAGCATCATGCGGAATGCCGGCCGTGTCCACGCTAAGCTGATCGAATTCTTGAAGGTAAACACAGCAGGAGACACGCAAAGTCAGGAAGGATACACAGACAGATAATCTGCTTGTACCTACCTGGATGGCTGCGTGCAGCTGTATGACGGCATTCAAGTGGTGAAGCGCATCGGCGGCATGGGATGCCAAAAGGACAGAGACTGCCTCACCGACAAATGGTGGGTTGCTCACATCCATCTTTTGAGCGGATGGGTGCATGGTAGTATGTGTATGGCTTTTGTGCAGTTTGTCTAGCGGCGTGTGCTACTGTCACGAGGCCTTCATCCAACCCAACTTCAGGAATGGCGTTCACCTGCTCCAAGACGTACGTACGTGCTTCGTCCGCCGCACACCCATATTTCCTCTCCCCCCTTCCCCCCCTCCCCCCCCTCTCTCTCTGTATCTCTGTATCTCTTGGTGATTCAGCGCCCCCAGTCGGCCTACCTGACTCACAATGACCATGAAGAATCTGTCAGCTTCCTGCTGTGTCACCCCGTTTGGCTCACCCACCCCCACTCCCCCTTCTCACTCGGCTTAGCCAACGCCTCAGCGTACGACCATCTCCCAGATGGCGCCGACGAGCTTGTAGAGCCACGGGAACCGCCACCAGCAGCAGCAGCAGCAGCAGCAATAAGAGAGTCACCACAGCAGGAGCGGCTGACAGCAGACGAGGAGGCCTTTATCAACCACCCACCCCTGCCAGCGGCAGTGCCAGTAGGCGCCGAGAACGAGACACGTGAGGTGTATGATTTGGCAAGAAAAGACAGCAAGACCCCCCAAGTGAGAGTTGAGAAGACAGAGACGGCCGAAACAAAGGAAGGAGGGGCGGCCACAGCCACAGGGGACACCGAGACGATCGAGATCGACACGGATGAGGCTCCCCCCATACCCATTGTGACCGCAAAGGCTTCGGAGGAGGAGAGTGCGACAGAGAGTGAGACCGAGAGCGAGACAGAGAGTGAAACAGGGACAGAGACAGAGAGTGAAACAGGGACAGAGACCGAGATTGAAACAGAGACAGAGACAGAGACAGAAACAGAGGGAGACACGGAGAGTGAGACGGAGGGGGAGTCTGAAGATGCCCTGCCGCGAAGGGGATGAGTGCGTGTGATATGTGTGTGTGTATGTGTGTGATGGAGGGAGGCCAAGTGTGTCATTTCCGCGTTCATTAGATGATGTGTCCGCTGGATCATACATACGTACGTATGTAAGACATGTATTGCTCTTTCGGCCTTTCCCTCAACATGATTTACCGACAGTCCATGGTGTTTCATGGTGATACAACAGGACCATCCCGCGACCACGCAACGCACTCATGCACCGCACAGACCGGCAGAGTCAATGCAGCAGCTGCCTAAAGGTACACCGCCGACAGGACACACACACATATTTGCCGCCCTCTTCTCACTCACTTCCCCCGCCCTCCCAGCGAGGCAATGGTCAGGCGATGAGCGTTTCTCGACGCAACACGTATCGTCGCCCGCCTTGTCTCTGTCGCGATGACGTCATGCAGGCCGATACATCTCACCGTCTCCTCACGCATCCCCCGCAGCACCTCCATAAGCCGAGCGGTGCCAGTGGTGGCCACCGTCCACACGCCACTCGTGTGCGGCTGGTCCTTTCCTCCATCACTGCCAGAGACGAGGCACGTCGATGTGGCGCGGCAGTAACACATCGGCGCTTCAGCGGAGCCATCAGCCGTCTCGCGGAATGTAGCCAGCACGTTTTTGGCCGCCTCCGTATCGACACACACGAGGAGGGCAGTGTTTTCCTCCACAGTGCAAACCGTCCACCTGACGTGAGGCTGTAGCCGACCGATGAGGGCCTCCGGGAGAGACGAGGGGGCTCCGGCTGTCACTGATGGCCATGAACTCCGTGTTGTTAGTCCAGAACCACCACCCACATCTGTCAGCATGAAGTCCACGGCAGCGATAGGTTTGTCCGATGGCGACGACGGAAGGGCCGACGGAGACCACTGCAGCTCCACGATGTGATGGCGCGATGCGAGGGGCAGGTCACCCACCAGACCGCCATGGCGGCGCACATCCCTCACCACGACCTCCCCAGCACCCACACCGTCACCCGCGCCCATCGCGTAATGAGTGAAGGCATTCCGTTTCTCGTCTGGGAGAGCCATTGACAAGATGACACCCTCAGGGAAGCCCCCAGAGCCGAGCATGACGTGCCTCTGCTTCTCTGTCTGCTGTCGTTGAGTGCTGAAGTGAGCAATCCACAACAAGGCCCGAGAGGGTGGTTCTTTCGCATGGATAGTCCGCAGCTCCTCTTGAGGCTCGTTGTCGCCCAGCAGGCGCCGCCATGTAACTTCCCAACATAGGAGGCTCTCGGTCTCAGATGTGCCGCAGCGAAAGGTGAAGACGAGTGGATCAGTTTCGTCAGCTGCCGTGCTCGTGGGGCCGGCGAGGGATGGGCCGCTGCTGATCAGCTTCTTGAAGGTAGCCAGGTGGGGAATGAGGGCCACTCGGAAGCAGCTGCCGACCACACTGTCGACCCTGATCGGGATCGATCAACATACACACACACACAGCAGCCCAGCCAGTCGGTCAATCAGTCAATCTTTGTATGCAGCATGGTGGGCCTGCCTGTGTTGGTTGGTGGTTTACTTGAAGGACACAAGTGCGCTGCCCAGTGTGGAGTGCTCGCTCACGTCCCACTGCCTGGTGGTGGCGGCGGACCGCGCCGACGAGCCAGAGGATGGGCGAGCGGATGACAACTCAGCATACGTCCTGCATCCACACACACATCCAACATTCATTCACGACGAACCATCCCCATCCCATGATGTGTCTGTGCTCACGTGAGCACTCACCGTCTGTAGGGAGGAAGGGGCTCATCGGGCTTGAACGCATAAGGTTCGTAGTCGTTTCTCAGAGGCAGCTCCTCCAGGCCCATCTCTTGAGGAGTGTCGTCACGGGAGCTGTGGAAACCTCGACCCTTCCTCACCAGCCCGTCCCTGGCAGGCACCTCTATCTCCTTCACATTCCTGCTGGCTGCCTCCTCGTCGCCTCCAACATCACTCTGCGCCTCGTTTCGTCCCTCATCTGGCCCCTCAGCACCCTCTGCAGCAGCTGTGTTTGGCGGCCTCGAGGTGGTCATACCAATCCGCTCGGTGAGATCACGTGTATGCGGGATGAAGTCCGCCAGCGAGAGTGAGGGGATGCTGGACTTGGCACTGTTGTAGATTACCACGTAGTTGCGCTCGTCGCCGTAGCCATGCGTTTCGACGGTCAGCTGAAACCTGTCGGCCATCAGCTTCAGCAGCTCGCCATATCGCCGCTTGAGGGCAGGGAAGCGGAGTGCTGGTGTGGTTGCCGAATCACCGCCCTTGGCGCCGTTACGTGCCTGCTCATTCAGAATGAAGTGCTCGAGCTCGTTCTCCAGCAGCAAGAGGAAGGCTCGGGTGTCTTTGAAGTTGAGGTAGAACAGCAAGTCGGTTGCTTCTGACATGGTGAGACAGATCAAGCGTCCTTTATCTATGGAGGACAGACAAGCAAGATCTCGTGATCAGCGAGCCCGAGCAAGGATCTCGTCATCAAAGAGCAGCGGTTTCAGCCATAAAGAGGGCCTCCAGAGAGCGGTAAAAGGTTTCAGAGTATACCCTAGCTCGCACTGGCGGTCGGAAAGCAACTGAAGGCTGGACATGACCAGGCGATCATCCCCCCTGCAGCAGCCGACGCCCTGAGCTAGATCCACTTCTATCTTCTGTCCATCTCGCCCTCATCCTGTGTGCAGTCGTTGCCTGAGGCGCATGGCTCTCGCTGCCGTCCTGCTCCCCCTCCCCTGCGGAGGAGGGCGTGGCCACCATCTGCTGGTGGCGATCGGAGGCGTCGCCACCTCCGTCTGTCATCTGGTGACCGCTCTGGCCACCACTCTGTGGGCTCTCTGGCTATGCGACTCGTCCTACGTGGCAATGGCCCTCAAGATGGCACAGCCGAGGGCCAGTGCGACTGGAGCGGCTCTCGCACGTCTCGCGCGCCACCACCGGCCGCCTACTGCTGCCTCTCGGCGGTTCCCCACCCGCGACCGCCGGTCTGTGCAGTCGGCCTTTGTGCCCTTTGTGGTGCCCTCATCCCCGGCGAGCAACCCACCCCAGCGCCCCGACCCCTCCCACACCCACACCCCTGCTGCCGTCCCTTCGCCCTCCTCGCCCCCCCAGAGTCAGCGTCTCACCTTCGCCACGGGCGCCCCCTACTCCAGCCCCTCACCCCTCACACACACTGCCAAGGCCACCACAGCTGACGCAGTCAGTGGCGCCAACATGCAGCCGGCAGCAGCGGCTCGATGGCGTGCGTGGAGCGCCGTGAGGCGGCTGCTGAGGCTGCCGGGCAGCCGCCGCAGCAGGATCATTCGCGCGGTCCCGGCTGACGCACAGGCGGCAGTCGGTGTGACCAATGCTGTGGCGCGGTCTTCATCGGCCGATTATGGGGTGGTGGATGCCGCTGCGGCTGCGGCTGCGGCCTCTCCTGTTTCTGCTGCTGGTTCTGGGAGTGTTGGGTCACGGTTGGTTCAGTGGATAGCTGTGAATATAATGCAGCGGTGCTGTCGGTCTGCTAAGGGGCTGACCATACAGATCGACCTGCTCAGAAGACGGAACCTCCTCAGGTGAGCAAGCCAAACACGGACGAGTGCACTGCACTACACAGGGCGGGGTGTGGCCACACTTCTTCTCTCGGTGCGTGTGTGTGTTGTGTGACATTCATTGTCAGGGGCATCTTTCCCTTGGTTCGTATAAGGTTCCGCAAGCTGGCCTTTCAGGCCCTCAGTATCTCGGGAGGCGCAGAAGTCGAGATCAGAGAGTGAGAGCTCAAGCAGACTACCCACTCCCCTCCCCCCTCATGCGTGCCTGCCTGCCTGTCTGTCTGGTGTGTCTGGATCAGATTGGCGATTCGGTGGGGTTCATTGCTTTTGCGGCGACAGACATTCTTGAGGGGGCCTTTCGAGGTGAGAGAGGGAGAAGGGATGCAAAGGGAGGGACGCACACACAGCAGACGGACATCGACATGGGATTATTGTCTGTATCGCGTGACAGACCTTTGGGACGTACACTCTCACGAGCGAAGACCTGGAGGACTCACCCTGTAAGATTAAAGCCATGTGTGGTGTGCATCCGAGCGTTGAGTGCAGCACGCACGCATAGCATACGAGAGCAGACAGACCAGTGGGCATAGGTCGTGTGTCTGTTATACGTCGTGTGTGTGTGTCAGTTATCAATCGGCTGCTGCGCCAGCTTGCCAACAAGCTGCTCTCAAAGATGGAGGGCACCTGGGACGGCAGAAACATCCCCAAACTGGTATGTACCGTAGCACACACAACACACACACACACACACATACCATACTGCCATTCCATTGCACACGCAGCACACCACACCACAGCCGTCCTCTCGTCCCTGTTCTGTTTCTACACACTGTGCGTTCATTCATTCAGATGTTGGTGACGATCGAGCACGTGACGGTCAAGGACGGGCGGCTCTGCATTACGGGCATCGCGCACACCGTCCTCAACACTATGACCCCCTTCAGAATCAGAACCGGCGTCGGCGTCACCAGCAACGGACACGTCGTCTACCTCAGGTAGGTAGGCTGCATACCTAACCTGCCCAAGGCAGTCAGGCGCACACGCACACACGTGGCTGTCTGTGTTGATCGGTGTGTAGGGACACTGTGGTGACTCTGGGTGTCGGGACGCCGTGGGAGGTGGCGGTCAACGTCCGGCTGGAGAGCTGGACGCTCGACATGGGCGACAACGTCGAAATCGACACGCTCGTCCTCGCCAAGAACAAGGTGGGTGCGGCAGGGCACGCCGCCAAACCACCCACCCATCATGAATGCCATCTAACCATCCACACGTGCGTGTGTGTGTGTGTGTGCAGATAACTCTGGTGGCGCGTTGCCAGCTGTCGTCCGTGGAGCCCTTCCAGGTGGTCCCGCCGCAGAGCTCCGACCGTGCCGCCTTCAGCATCGACCTCGCCAGACTACTCTCCAAATTTTTCATCAGGAAGATGATCACACCATGGACACGCAGATAGACAGACAGACAGACAGATTGAACAGACTGGCAGACAGACAGAGGGGCGGACGGAGGGTCGGAGGGAGGGAGGGAGCGAAAGACGCTACGCTGGTTTTGAGTCTTGATGGATGCGTTGTGGTCGGTTGGTCGGCGATTGATGGTGTCCTACCTAGTGCTTATGGTTGAGGGAATGGGTCGTTTGTTCGTTCGTGCGTGCGTGCGTCAGGGAGGTGCGAACACCTGACGTGATGACGGACGTGCGTTGCCTGCCGGCGTGTCGCTCGTGTCATACCATACCCGACCCGCATGGGTGAATGTCTGTCTCAGTGAGTGCATGAGAGTACGGACGGGCGGACTCAAAATGACTGTCTTATGTAAGTCCCTTCCGATTTTCTCTTCTTTCACCCGACCTGGCTGGCCTGCCTCGTGTGGTTGAGGATGGATCGCTCTTGGTGCTGGATGCGCACATACTTCCTCATCTATCTCTCTGCCTATCTGCCTGCCTGCCTGCCTGCACACGTCAGCTGATTGGATGGATGGATGCATGGATGGCATCATGCAGTGCAGCTGTATGTGTGTTTTTCCGACCAGCACACGAAGAACCAACCGGCAGATAATCAGAGCAGCCAACCAACCAAGGAGGAAAGCAAGTAGGCCCTACTCACTCACTCACTCACTCCTCTCGTACCTACCGTACCACTATCTATCTCGTCGATGGACAACCATTCCCCCCCAGATCACCATATCCCTTCATCGCCAAACCATCATGATTGGGTGTTGGCCGCCCATTGGCTCAACGAGCCTCCCTTGATCCCACTTTTGGCCGCATGGTCGCTTGGCTTCTGTTGAACCTGTCTGTCTCTTGTGAGAGGGCGGCCCTGCGTAAATGGCGTGGCAGAATCCTCCCTTGACCGGTTCAATCGCTGGAGCGAGGGAGGGTGGTGGCATGCCGTCCTTGCCTGGTTTATTTCTTTTGCGACGTCACTCACGCGATGGTTGGTTTGAATGAGCCGGTCGGTCATCGACAGACAGACAGACGGACAGTCATGGGCTTTAAAACAACAAGATGGGTGGATTTAACTCAGAGAGAGAGAACGAGAGAGCGGCAGCGAGAGGAGCGAGGAGGGACGCGTTTAGAGATTATCCATCCATCCAGCGAGCCAGCGAGGAGGGATGGTGGTATGTGATTGTAGCAAAAGAGGACAGGAGAGGCTGGCTGATTGCCTGTCTGATATGCCAGCCAGCCAGTGTGTGTCGTCCGTCCGTCCCTCAATGCGCGGGGGTGCGTGTATGTTTCAATGTATAGCTTCCAAACAGACAGACAGGCACGAGAAAGAGACGTGTGGTGTGTGTTTTTCGTATGCATTGCAGAGCCGAGCCGCCCACGCAGACAGACAGAACTCCAGACGGACAGCAAGGACAGACAGATGGTCTGTCTGTCCACAGCACAGACAGGTGTGGTGTGCGAAACTGTACAGATGACGATGAAGCATAGAGCTCGCCGACACTACTACTACTGCTTCTCGACTGACTGACTGACTGACTGCATTTCTTGTGCTCTTTCCCTCCCCTCCCCCTCTACCCCCCGGGCAGAATGCATAACTAATGACTGGAGGAAGGCCTACCATGCCTATAGTGTGCTGTCCTGTCCTCCTTTTTTCCCACCGACCATGTTTTGCCTCACTCACCCGCTCCACCGACACCCACCGAGTAAGTAAGTAAGGCAGCAGAGGTGCGTGTGCCGGGATGATCCACATGAGATGTCTAACTGCCTGCCTGTCCGCCTGTTTGTATGGCTGGCCGGCTGGCTGTAAATGTGCGTGTATGTGACGACTAGATGACTGACTGACTGGATGGACGCATTTCGCTGCGCCTCAGCGAAGCTGCAATTCGTACGTACGTGCTTGACCGGCACACACAGGCTGGCTGGCCTGACCACAGACGGGTATCTATCGGTCTGCGAAGCAGAGAGGCATACCAACCGACAGACCGACAGACCGACCGACCGACCGACCGATTGACGGATGGATGGATGGATGGATCGGTTCTTACTTTTCATACCTCTCTCTTGTCTCTCTGCTCTCTGCTGGCTCCCCAAGTGGCTGGCTGCCGGGCTGTGTCGGTGGATGGAATCGGTGTGTGCGCGCAATCGTGGCCGATGGATGGGTGTCAGTCATGTGAGTCTGTCTGTCATTTGAGCGTGATGAGATATGAGACGACCGACAAGGGACTGCTGCGGTGCGATGACTGACATGGGTGGTGAATGATGCTATTTGTCTCTCTCTGGTTCCGACATCTATCTGACAGAAGGAAGACTTGTGGGGACTTACGGCACGGCGTGTGCGTGGATTGGATGTGCGTGTGTGTGCTGCATGGGACGTCAACCGCCGTCATGACGATCAATGTGGGTGAACCAATTTCAGATCCTCTGAGCTAACGACATGGTCACTCTGGAGCACCATCTGGTAGAACCACACCACCAGAGTGAGTATCTGGTGGTGGAGCCTCGACACCAGATGTGCGCTGACTGCATGGAACTGAATGGCACACCGGTGTGTATCGCAGGAGAGCGGTTTCACGCAGGGTTCCAAACCCTGCACCTTGGGCTTTGACGTTGAAGTAACGGAAAGCCACCAGAGCGTCTGATCTCGAGCCCTGCACCTGTGATGACTCATTCTCAGGGCAAATCGTTGCTGCTGGGTGAATTCGTAGGATCTTTTGGTAGCGGAAGTGCGCAGATGTCGGCGCCTGCGGAGAAGCGCAAGAAACAAGGCCACACCGCATCGCATGACAACGAAGCGGGTGGGCTGGGCTGGGCAGGTGGGGACCAGACCACGCCCCTGCAAAACACATGCATCCTTGCCTGGTGTTGTGTTGTTTGCTCAGAGGACGTTCGCTCGCCTGGTGACGGTGGCAGCATGCAAGAGGGCAATGATGATACCGCCGGCCGCAAGGTGGGTACGGTGCACCGCCACACCAAGAGATGCACACCATGTCGCACACGGGTGAATATCCCCTGCGTGTGTGCGGTTTGTGTCAGGTGGCTGGTTTGTGTGACTTGGAGGCCGTCCACCTATCGCAGCTGAGCCCACTCTTCACCACCATCGAGCGGCTGCCCATCTCAGCGATATGCAAGGACATGCACACCAAGGCCACCGACACGACTACGGGGATGTACCGCGACCTCACCATTACCAAGGGCGAGCATAGCGTTTGGAAGAGCATCAAGCAACCAGCGGCACGCGACACCGATGAGGAGGTGAGGAGGGACAGACGGACAGACAAAGGGATGGAGGGAGGGAGGGAGGGAGAGTGCGTCATGGATGGCTGCATCGTGCATGGCGTTGGTTGCTCATGCAGTCGGATGAAGACCCTTCCCGTCCCCCGTCCCCGAAGAGCAAGCCGAGCAAAGACAAAGACAAGGGCAAATACACACCGCAGCTCAAGAAGCGAATGGTGAGAGAGGGGAGGGCCGGATGAAGAGCGCACTGACATAACTGTACCATTAAGGTCGTGTGTATCGTTCGTTTGTGCTGCAGGGTAGGCTGCAGACGGTCAACATCGACGCCACCCGAGGCCTCATCCCCTTCACAGTCGACTTGCTCGAGGCGTCCAAGTGGACACTCAAGCACATCCACATCGACAATCCCCCCACAGGGCAATACGGTCGACGGGACAAGGTCAAGGGCCCGGCGGCATCGAGTAGTGTGGTGGTTTTCGACAGCGTCGAGGAGCTGCGGGTCACGAACGACGAGTGGATCGATAAGTTCATGTAAGTGAGAGACCACGCCACACAGGCCACCCACATCCGCCATGTCTGTGTGCCTGTGTGGGTGTGGCTGGCTGAGCTGCAGGAGTAGCGGTTGGGTGTTTTCTGCGCTGGAGAAGCTGAGTGTCGGCCACGTGTACGCCGAGGCTGACAAGGGCCGAGTCTGCTTCCGACGCCACAACTCCAGGGCCTGCTCCCTGCTCCCGTCCCTCACACACATCGTGTCCACATCGCCGCAGCTGACGAGCGTCAAGGCCTGGAACATCGACACGGTGGACGGGGCTGACTGGCGAGCATTCACCGCTGCGGTAGCCAAGTGCCCCAAGCTCACAAGCATCGAGGGGCTGACCATCCTGAGCGCAAAGGACATCCGACTCAGCTACAACGAGTCCGAGGACGAGACCAGTACCGACCTAAGGTATGTGTCTATTGTATACATCCACAGACGCCACGCCCACTTCCCCCTCTGTCTGTTTGTCTGTCAGTGTGCTCAAGACGCCCGTGTACGACTCCCTCGGGCTGCTCAAGGCCGCCCTCGACACCAACTGGAACAAAGATAACATGAAAGGTGGGTGAGCTGGGTGGGTGTGGGAGAGGGAGAAGACACAAATGGCCGGCCGCCGCCCAGCTATGCTTCCCAATCACATCTGGTGCTCCTTCCCGTTCTGTCTGCGATGCATGACACGTCAGGTGTGCCCAAGACCCTGACCTTCAACCACCGCTTCACCCTCGGCGCCGACTTCAGCCGACAGCTGACGGACCGCAGCGGCCCCAACCATTTCACCCTGCCCGACCTGCTCACGTGGGCGCCCGGCGTGGCGTGCAGCATCGAGTGGTTGCCGCGCGCGGACAACAGGGAGGCATTCAGCGACGAAGGCAAAGGGTGGATCATGGACACTGTCATCGACTGCAGCACAGAGGTGCCGGAGGCCCCGCCTGCACCCCACGGCGTCACGGCTGAGACGGTGGAAAAGGTCACCAGCACGTGCAAGAAGGTCAGTCAGTAAACACTGAGCTGCGCTGCGCGGCTGACTGCTGGAGCAACTGGTGGCTGGCAGGATGGAACATGTGTCTGTGCGTGTCTCTGTGTGTCCATTTCATCCACTGTCAGGTAGCGTTGTCGTGTGGCGGCTCGCCTCTCCACGGGACGTGGGGAGCGCTGCTGTCGTTCCCGGAAGCCACCCACCTCGCCGTCGGGGCGGAGGACGCCTACCGGCCACCACCTGCGAGCAAGATGGTCAACAGCATCCCCGAGTTCCTCCTCGACACGACCGAGGCCCACGAGGAAGGCAACAGCCGTTGTCTGCCATCGATTGAGCATTTTCACGCTCAAGTGTTGCGTAGCAATAGCAACCGACACGAGGGCCTGCCGTCGGGTGCAGCTGCCCGCAAGCTGGAGGGGCTGATGGGTAGTTTGAAGCGTGTGAGAGAGGCGAGCTTTTTCGTCTCGGCTCTGAGCGACCTGAGCCGGTGCATATCGTACTTCTCTGGTCTGCACCACCCCCTCGACAAGCTAGAGGTCAAGATAGACGACATGACAGCAGACATGCTAGCCGACGCCGCACACGAGTGCGAGGCTGGTCTATCGTACCCTCAAGTCAATAGCCTCACTGTCGATGGGGGGTGTGCACGGCTCAAGAGAGACCACGTGCGCAATCTGCTCTCTCTCATCCTGTCGATTCGCCCCACACGAGTGTCGCTGACGGTCGACATGTCGACAGACGACCTCGTTGGGGATGTCGACTCGGACGAAGAGGGAATGGGTGCGCACAACTACGGTTGGTACGGGCCAGAGCACCCTGAGCCCGCCCTCGCTGCGTTTTGTGTCGAGTGTGTGGCTCGGGTGGGGGCCACCTATACGGTTTTGGAGAGTGACCATGAGGTGGATGGGGACGGGGTAGATGATTCGTTCATGAACACACTGGTGCTGAAGCTAGAGCTCAAGGGCAGCACACGGAAGGGGCGCAGCAAGGCCAAGGCCAAACCCAAGAAGGCCAACAAGAAGGATTAGATTGGATGGGGCAGACGGGAGGAAGAGGCACGATAAGATAGATAACTGATGGCTTGTGGGTGGGATGGGTGTGGTGGGTGGGTGCGCTTTGGATAAGTAGTATGAGGGAGCTGGCTGTCGTTTTGCTGTCGATATTCATCCCATGACTGTCTGACTCTCTCTCTCTCTCTCTGCGTGTGTGTGTGTGTGTGTCTGTGTGTGTCTGTGTGTGTCTGTGTGTGTGTCTGTCAACACGTCATTGCTGCGTGCCATTGCCTCACTTGCTGGCGTGCGGCAGAGGGGCCCTGAGGTAGATTAGACGCGCCCAGCGCCCACGCATCCAATCGCATACATGTGATACATGGGGGGGGAAACTGTCATTAACCGTAACACTCGTCTGTGTGTCCGTGATACTCATACAAATACAGTCCCATCAGCACGCAGACTCAAACAGGCTCAAGGGGAGGAGGGATCAATCCCCGCCCCATCAGCACACCCCAGTCCCGCAAACCCTCCCCTCCCTCCCCCACGCAGACAGAAGCTAGTCGCACGCGCGAGGGCGATAGACAAGCGAGAGCGAATCCATCCAGAC